TTGTACTTATTTTCAGATTTGTGTGAACTTGTGTGACTTTATCTGTTATTGTGTGCTACCAAAGACCTTGACCGACATCACCTTGGATGGTAGATGGACAGAAACATCTACAGGCGAACCATTTCTCCTCTTCGACGACGGTGAACAGAACAACAGAATGATTGCATTCGCTACATCAGAGAACCTGGCCGAACTTGCAGCCTCCGATGTAATCTTCAGTGACGGCACCTTCTACACCTGTCCTACTATATTTTACCAGATTTACAGCATTCACGTACAGATTGAAGGAATCATGACCCCAGTTGCATATGCACTACTTCCCGGAAAGAGCCAGGCTATCTACAACCGTTTCTTCACGCTACTACAGGAGCACATGGCAAACTTCCAGATTCCATTCCGACCCACAACAGCCTTCGTCGATTTTGAGGTAGCAGCACACAACGCCATCCGCAGTGTCGTCCCTGGAATCAAGATAAAAGGCTGTTTTTTTCCATTACACTCAATGTATTTGGCGAAAGGCCAAGTCAACCGGACTCCAGACACTGTACCGTGAGAACGATGACGTCACACTACTTGTCCTCCGAGCTGCTGTTCTTCCACTCATCCCCTTAGACCGCATATAAGACGTCTGGTTCCAAACCCTTGAAGGTGCTGATGATGCTGACATACCACATCCCGTGCTGCTTTTCACAGACTACGTCACAGAGCAATGGGTAAAAGGAGACCGACCAACCTGGAACCACTTCTCAACAGAAGGACCTCGGACTACCAGCGATCTGGAAGCTTGGCACGGAAAACTGAAGAAAAGAGTACTGCATGCCCACCCCAACATCTACACCATCATCCAGACGTTTAAGGACATACAGACCGTGAATGACATCCGAATCAAGAGAGATGCAGGAGGCACTACTCAACCCCGAAAGAAGAGATACGCCAACATCGACAGACGCTTGGACACCCTAAAAGACCGTTATCAGACTGGAACTATCGACCTGATGACCTACGCCGACTCAGCATCACAGCTTCTGCATCTGGGATAGAGTGTTTTGTGCTAGAGACTTAAGTGATATATATAGAGAATGTGATTTGTGCTAGAAACTTCAGCTTCATTTAGTGGTTTACTGTTTATATTCATGTTTAATAATTATCCTTTAGTGCTGTATTAAATGTGTATTACTGTTATATGTATGAATAGAAACTTTATTTTATTGCTGACATTAGTATCAATGTGGCTTGTATTAAGGATTTTATTTTTCATATAATGTAAATATCAATATTTAATGATTATTTTCTATTACTTAGTGCTGTATTAAATGTGTATTACAGTTATTATATGTATGAATAAAAACTTTCTATCCATTTTATTATTGACTTTAGTATCATAACCACAAAATGAGTTGACATTCTTAGTTGAAACAGGCTATAACTAAACTTCAAAGGATTTCCTATATAAACACCTTCTTTTGAATTTTTCAGAGTTGGTATTCGTGGAATGAGCTGTTGCATGATCACCTCGGGCGATGTACAGTTGGCTCGACCTATTGTTCAAATGTCCTGGTGTCAAACACCGCCAACTTACCTGAGTTTTTATCTTATAAAATCAATTCACGGCAGAAAAAAAATATTGTAATAACGGGATCCAACCTTTGACCATATCATAATAAACGATTAGTTTTTCTTAGTTATAGGATAAAATCGGTACATAGGAAAAGAATTATAATAAGCGACATCATAATAAGTAGGTTCCACTCTAAGTACAAAAAATCTCCTATAATATAGCAAAGATATATTTTCAAAACATACAAACAGTAAATATAGAAACACTGCGTTATTAAATTGAATAAATGTGTAACAAGTTTGTAACAAACATGTCTTTAATCCCTGTCTTGAACACACCCTATCATGTTTCATTAGTACCACGGAATTAGATCCAAGTCCGTGTTAGTACTGATAAAATATCTTTTTGATGTTCATGTTTCACAGAGTAAATATCGCACTCCATCTTTTGCCGTTCACTATCTGTAAACAATTCATATATATTTGATATTATCAAATATTATGTGTATTACCAAATACGTATATATTACAATTTATACGTCTCTACTAGTACTTCTTTTAATATCACTTGTGTTACTAAAGCGGCACAAAATCATCTAATATCTGACTGATTGGGTGAGTCTAACATTACATCTGAGGGAGATAAAGCTTTGCGCTAACTCACAAATATGGTTAGACCCTCCAAATAGACAGACTTCATTCAAATCCGGCTGATCAGGTTAGTCCAATGTTCTACTAAGGGGATAAGGTTTTGCAGAAATACAGGTAAACCGCGGCGATGACCTTCAGCTACATCCAGCCAGCTCGGCTGCTTGCTGTTTGACGAGTAGCTAAAGTTATCAAAGCATGGTTAGCTTTACAGTTCTTTTGTGTTAATGTATTGGTCCTGTCGATTTATTCTGTGACTATATACTGAAATGGACAGAGCACGTTGGAGTGACTTTCTTAATTCTGCCGGAAAGAATAGTCGTATTCAAGTGGTACAATATCAGGCTTATTTGCAGCCGTATTTTTTGTGATATAAAGAAAAACGTTAGTGACCCAAACATTGTGACGGGAACTGTGGACTGTAGTTAGGTAGGAACACTACAGTAAGTAGGTCAGAGGTAACCATCCGCTGCGGGGAAGAGTTTGGGAAGCACAATTTCAGCAAGCACAGCATCGTCAAAACATGAATCAGAATATGATTTATTCATTGTATACTCACAATATACACGCATTGTAGTATTTTTCACATACATTTGGTTAGTTAAAAAAGTATCGAAGTGAATGCTTTCTCTGCCTATAAGTTGGCGAACCACAATATGGCGTCACTACGGTATGAATGAAAATGCTAGGGGTCGCTGCCAAAAATATTTGCATATGAATCAAATGTGAATGAATGAAATCCATATAAGGAGATATCAGCTACCATATAAGGACAGAAAGTCCATATATAGTCATAGATGGCGTGGGTGTAGAATATGCAGATCCACGTTAAGCAACTTTCGTAGTATGAGCGATCCCCTAGACACTTGCGTTACCTAACGCATGTGTCAAAAATCGCATTACCCTTTCCAGTTAGCGTAAAATGTTCCACTTTGGCAACGTAACGGGAGTAAAGTTGCGCAATATTTAAAGTGCCAACATCAGTAGAAATGGTGAGGCCATTTCATTATTTCGAGTTAAGTTTGATGCATCATTACAAATCTTTAAACACACCCCCACATCTATATCTTCCCCTCATAATTCCGGCCATTTTTTAAACTTTATTTATTTTTCACAACAATTACGAAATTAAAGAGTTTATCAGCTCATGTTGATCATTTTTCTTTGTCCGCACGGTAGCGTACAATGGGGAAATGCCAAATATGATAAAACGTATAAAAGCGACGTCAAATATCAAAACGGCGTCATATACATTACACAATGTGTCACAACATCGTGCGTAACGTCGCCCCCATTATACATTAGATTTCCCGTAAATCAGCCAATAATGACACGTGAGGTCACGCCAGCTTTCTGGTATCCATCGAGCTTATTTAACCAGGCAAGACTACACGAGCTTTGAATGTGTTTAAGAATTTCGGAGAATTCAAGCATCGAATTCATCTTCCAAAACTCGAAAAAAAGACAACCCTGATTCCTTTCATTATGACAAAACTGGCCACGTCACAATGCACAAAAGTGCCGACTATTCACGACTTGAAGTAGTGACATCATACCAGTCTTATTAAGGTATGCAAAGTTAACATTTATTCAAGGAGTAATGTCGATCCTGTATTTCATTGTAATATAAAATACATATAGAAGTGTCTCATACACTGTACAAGATATCCCAATACAAGCTAGCTTTGCTTTCATGTAATTCATGGTGATACGCTCCTCAAATGACAAGCTCACTAATTACGGATTCATTACCAGGGGTTCCTGGATGTGCATATAAGCCAGGGTTTTCTACCACCTAAAGCTGTTCAATAGTTCACGCGGTCGTCACAATAACCTGGTATCTATAGCTCAGAGACACCAATGTCTACTTTTCGTTGCTGACCCATTCCCTGCTATTGTTGAGAGATAATGGAAGGAAATCACAGCTAAAATTAATTTATATTTGATAAATCTTGCTATTTGTAGTTTGGAATCTGCTAAGTCCGTTTTCGTTGTTTTCATTTCATGTAAGTTGTGGTATCTATTCGTCGTTTAATTCCGAGTGGTTCAACCGATTCCTGTGTAATATTTTTGTAGGTCATACTCGTACACTTGTAAGTTTGGAATTCATTCCATATCAGATTCATATTATAAATGTCTACGAACAACTCAATCTCTTCGTTTTAAAGAAGTGTACTAAGGTGTTTAGGGTAATTTTACACGGGTTTTTTTTTGGGGGGGGGGGGGGGGGGGGCGGGATCAATTTATTATATATCTAAACCCCCAAACTTATATTCAATTTTGTGAATATCAATATTGATTTTTTTCGGAGAGATTTTTGACATGACAATGAGGGATATCTTAAAAATATTCTTACAATAACCATGCATTTGCTAGTAGATCAGCCGATTAGATAGAACCCTAGACGCAGTACTCGCATGCAACATGCGTATCAAATGGAAAAACTTATACAGAATGTTAACTTGAAATAATTGCTACCGATTAATCACTAGTGCATCAACGAAAGCTTCTTCTATAGCGTTTTGAACTCGTAATTATATCGTTCACTGGTTTATCAAAGGGAAGCAACTCCTCTTGTGTGCTCCCCTTTCATGTGTATCAAAGGGAAGCAACTGTTTTTAATAAAAAAAATATGAAGTTTCTCATTTTCTCCTGATCATGAATAAAAATTTAAAATTGTCAATGGGCTATAAAGCAATACAAAAACTATTAGATGTACCTGATTCACTGACCTTTCAGTTAAAATCATTGCAAAAAAATGTAAAAACTTTAACATAAAATAAAAATAAAAGAAGTTTTTTCTTTAATTTTAATTCATAAATGCTAATATTTAACACACATAAGTATCATTCGTCCATAAACATTATATCATAGTCTCTAAACTTTCCATTATGATTTTATATATTGATACAGACTAAAAACAATTGTATTTGAGCTTGGTCTTTCATTTTCCTGCCTTTTTTTCACAATATTTGGTAAACTCTTCCCTGAGCTTCTCTTTCTCTTCTTCAACTTGTTTCTCAATGCCCTGCAAAAATAAATAAATAAAAACAGACAATCCATTATCTATTGACAACATAAGATTTGGTATTGAAGTGTATGCAAACATACTACTTGATACAACCAATCAAATTACCCGGGGTATAGTACTTACAGACAACTTTACATTATCACAGAAGTGTCTAAATATAGAAATACAAGTGTATACATAGTATATTTAGCTGCTGATGTTGATCAAGAGGAGCATCTGCCATGTATTGTATATAAAACCATTTCCATGCTACACCTTCTTTATTTACGAGACTTTTAAGAGAACCCGGGCCATGAACCCATGAAACAATTAAAAGCAAAAGATAGCAAACACAACTTTCAAAACATTTGGTCTTTTCAATGACAATAATTTCATATTACAGACATGATGCAAGAATTTTGAGGACACTGAACGGTCTATAAAGTGTTAAGTGTTGATGCCGAAATATTGACTTACCTCAAGGGGCTTATACATATGGAAGACAATTGACGAACCAGCAATTCCGGCAGCTAGAAATGATGCCAAAGCAGTAAAGTACTGTGTTGTAGAAATACCATAAGGCATATTTGTCTTTAAGTTATTAAGCAATCACAAAACAGATTTAGACCTCAGTTAATTAGCACAGACTCATTCTTGTCTTTGTCGTTCAACTAGAAAGGCCAATGTAAGTTCTCCACTTTCCATCAATTCTGTAATGGCTTGTTTTTCAGCTTGTCTTTTCTTGAACGTATTATCTGCAAGACAACAAATATGTAAAATCTGTATCAGGTGTATTTCCAATAAAAGACAGTTAATATATTAACAGGCCTAATGTTTCACGAACGTTCATCAGCATACATTGATATTCCCATTATTGTCCACAGCTGAAGGTTTAGCAGGAAAATCCTTGAATTTAAAAGAAGTGGGCCATTTCAGCAAGAGGCTATTCTATGTAAAATTGAAAGAAAATTGGATTATGGAGCAGTCAATTTCAGTTTTGAGGGGTCAATGGCCCGATGGCCCCCTCCAGGATTATCCCAGGTTTAGTCCTTACATGTGCCATTTTTAACAACATAAACAAATACATGTTACTGGGATTGAAACATGTCTCCTGCTGTTATTAAATAATACATTTATAATCTGTACAGTATGCAAAAAAAGGCATTGGCAACATGTATGTATTCTAAGTCTACATCATAGTAAAATTAAACATTCACAGTTAATATATTTAAACTTTTTCAACTTTTTTTTGTTGTGAAAATTATTCAGTTTAAAACAAAGTAAGCATCTCCTTTTAAAAAAATCTTTTAAAGGGGAGATAATCCCTGCTATATGAAAACTAAAAGTAGGTACTCAAGTTATTTGGAACTATTTTTGGTATGGATCTGATTTGGGTTCTCCTCCTTATAGCCCTGTATTAGAACAGACTAAAGTGGACTGCATGGATTGCTGGCGACTAGCTGCAGGTAGCACAATCAATAAGGACTACACGTGTCGGACTAAGGTGTCCTAGTAGGTTCAAATCCTGGTCTGGCTGTGCATTTTACTCTCTCGTGTTACTTGGCTTTGCATTTAGCACCCAATGAAACATACCAACTTAGGTCTTGTGTGTCTTTGAGGGTGAAGATTTAACAAAAAGAGGGGAGGAATTTGAATGAAGCAGAACTGGACTGCATTGATCTTTAGGTATATGTAGCTCACAGTTGATTTGGTTTGAGCGACTGTATAGACACAGGTGTCTGAAATGTTATTAGTACGTTTTTATAGTCCAAGAGTAATTTTGTATTTGTATTTGGGGGAGGGGGATATTCTTTACTATATAGGACTGTATAGGATCTATCTACTGATAAAATTTGACAAGCCTGTGGTCTGGAAGTCGAAGGTCCCAGATTTAGATCCTGGTATGGCTGTGTATTTTTCCTCTCTTGTTACACAGCCCTAACCTAACCTCCTTTTTAGGAATAATAATGGATGAAGCGAAACAAAAAATTTAGGGCGAACATTGTTAGGTATTTTCTTTCAATTTTAAGTCACAAATTAAGTCTTCTTAGTCTTCCATATCATCAAAATCAATTTTATAAACAAAAATGTGTTTGTATTGTTTTTAAGCGAATGTGACAAATGGCAGCTGTGAAAAGCCGACTCCGAACTCACACAGTTGCGCATTTTTTTACATGAAATATACCTACGTAACACAAATGTGGAAAATTATCAATAAGTTTAGTTGATGTATTTAAATATTAATTATTATATAAGCGTACAAATAAATAAAAAAAAAAGGGCGAAACATTCTAGGGCGTTCAGGATTTAGGGCGAAACAACCTGTTACCCATAATTTGTGTATATTAGTGGTGTACTAACAACTTCAGTGTTTGCTCATGTCGTATCTGTACCTGTGTTTAGAGTTTTAATGTTTTTCAGTGTTTTAGTCTTTATTACTTTATTTTTCTATTTATTTACCTACCTATTTAGCTTAACTTCTGTTTTGCATGGCACTTTTATATACCAATAACTGGCAGCATAGTTTCTAGCCCTCTCTTCTAATCATCATTATAGCTCAATATCTTTCACTTACTAGACCTTGTCGTCCTAATTTATTTACACTATATTAGTGTATATTATGTCAATTTTTACCCTTTTGCTATATTAGCATGTATGTACATTACACTTGAAGTGTTTTAACCCTTCAATATAAAGCAACACCTGTGTGAATTGATATGGTGTTCACTATTATCTCTTTTCATCTTTATATTATAACTATAGTTCTTTAAATTTAGTGCCTGTGATATCTAATTATATGCTGCTATGTTATTGTATGTTTTATTTGCTGATTATGTGCTAGCTTTCTGTGATAGTGTATAGCTTTTTTTGTTGTTTTCTGTTTGCTTTTTATCATGTTTGTCACAAAAATAGGGCTAATGTTTCTCTGTTTGATATATGCGACGTTAAATAAAGTTTCTTGCATCTTGTATCTTGTTCATCCTCACCCTGACTTATCGCTAGCTAATTATATATAATTAACAGGTTGGGCACAACAGCGTATATAGGTAATAATCCTGCATTCTGGTAACAGTTAGTGTCAGTTATCTGATCGCAGTAACAATTTTAAAATGGAGATTAAAGTGAAATAAAAACACACAAAGTTCTTTAAAATCTAGGAGCCAAAAAGGGTGTCACCCTTTCAACATTATCAAGTGAATTAAATATCACACTGATACACATAGAATCTAATTCTGTGTTATAAATAATTGGTACATTTATTCCAGAGGTGTTCACTAGTACTGCTAAACACACTAATATGACCAATTATGTACTGTATAGTATATCTACACATATCAGTGTGCCAAACACCTGTGATTTGTACACAAAAAGTCATCAATTCTAATGTCAAACTTTTTAAATTGAAAAAAATATAATATATAACCGACTATAATATTCTTATCCAGTGACAGGTGAGCATATACAAAAATCGGTCAATTTTTGTTTTATACAGTATTTATTGGGTTTTGTTGAAATAAGATCCTTTGACCTTAAGTGATGTTATTTACTTTATTTCTGTAATACAATTGCCAACGAGTAACTGCCACCCTAGCCCGAGTTTCATCTGGCTTTATCCATCTGTCAAAATGTCTTGTCTGGTGTCAGGGCCAGAGGAAACTCAGGCTTCTGTACTCGGTACTGTTCTACATCTACATAGTAATGACCACCTAACTATCTATATATTCTGCATCACCCTCTTTCGAGTATTATGTGCAGCGTGCGCGTCTGTGCATGTTAAAAGGTATTGTGTGGTGACCGAGATAGAAATGATAAAGTGCGGACTGGTGCATGCATAAGGGAGAGAGAGAGGAAAGAAAGAAAAGTGTGATGAGAGAGTATTTGGTGAGCTAAGAAATGTCTATAAGTTTAGACCTGCTACTGCCCATTACAAGGGCATATTTTATGGAACCTCTACGATGTTGATAGCTCCTGTTGTACAAAATAGCGGATCTATTATGGACTTTGAGTTGGGGTGTGAGGGAGGGGGTGGGGGGGNCACTCCAACTGAGCTGTATTTAAAAAGAGTTCTGATTCGGTGTTGGTCATATCAACTCTTAGTGTATTCGGGTAGGTGAACTATGATGACAGGGGACGGGGGTCACTCACTCAGAAGGGGACGGGGGAGGGTGAAGTTAAAAATATGCTGACATAGTCTATGGCCTAACAAAGGGAGTATCACTGATTGCCTTCTTGAAGGTGTCAAGTGATGGACTGCTGCAAGCTCCTATTTCATCTATTTGAAGATCATGTCATGTGATAGTAGTTGCTAGGCCAAGAGAAGAAAAGATAAAAGAAAGTGAAAGGGAATATGTATTGGAGTTATAATTGTTTTTTGTTTAGGGACAGCTTAAGCAGTCAGAAGAGGTAATGGAGGTTATATCTGGAGGCAGGTTACTCAGTAGGCCTCAGTACAGTACCCAATTATGTTTTGCTTGTAACGTCTGCTTACAAAAATTAGTTGACCCCACTGTCCAATGGATCATTACATATTCTAATGTTGCACCTCCCAGGAACATAAATGGAAGGAATCGAAAAACCCCAAATTGTTTCCCTGGAACTGCGTTCACAACTTTTGTCACAACCTTGGTAATGGATGTCATCCTCACATGTTTTGCAATTTGCTCATAAGAAAGCTGTTTCTATTCGTGCAATAAAAAATATGCGCCAATCAAATGGCTCGTTACATGTCAAATTCAATCACAATCGGGAACCGTCGGCACTTTCCGTAAACGAGTTTTTTTCCAAGTAATGACTTCTCCCTCGATTATATTTTTAGATCAAACCCTAACAGCGATTGGCTAATATGGTAACCTTTGAACTGAATTGACCAATGAGATTAAAGGTTCCACAGACAACAAAGCATCAAGCACCTGCAGGTAATGGTTCTGTTTACGTTAAAAGATTTTTTTTGCACTAGCATATTCTCAATTGGAAAGGTATTAGAATAATGATAAGTAGATAGAATAGATAATAGAGGAACGATTATATGGAATGCATATACATTTAAGTGAATGGACGATGAATAATTTATCACGATTTCCAACATGTGGCATTGTGATTCATATTCCTCAAAATGGAGGGGGGGTCAGTCAGCTTCAATTAGGACATTTGTTTGGCATGGCTATCATTGTATTCATTTAGTTATACGATATATTGAATGCTTTTTATTAGACAAAACTAGTCTTTATACTGTATCTGGTTTATGCTCAATGTTTGAAAGGAGACCCTGTGCTTGTGACAGGTCCCATCACAGGCTGGACAGTCAAAGGTTCAAAATGCTGTCACTTGCATGGCCCAAGGCTAATCTAAACCCTTTGTTTGTCCGGCACAGGGTCGTTATGACTTGTTATGTAATCACATGTGTTTACATACGGTTGAGTGAATTGGAACTTAATACAAGACATATTATTAGATGATTTGGTACAGTTTGTTTGCAGCAGCTATATAATCTGTACTGTAGGCCTACTGAAGGGGTATATAACGCTGAAAAGTAGATTAGCTACGCCCGATTAGCTATGCCAAATACATTTTTAATGTAATTGTATCTTCTTCTTTTTCTGCAACGTTTTCAAGATTTTATTTATTTTTCATTAATACTGTAAAATGTTATACATTCCAATGATGATCTGATGGGTCGAGTATACAAATTGGGCTGGATCTGATCAGCAGTGTATCTGTATGAACACAGAACATGTTGATGGTCAGCCTGGTATTTATTATATGGAATTGGTGAAAATAAATGTATTGACATTATATTATTGTTTTGTCAACGAGCTGATTAATATAAAAAGAAAACTCATGACTTCTATATGTTGTTCACTTTATAATTCTTCATAATCATAGCTCTAGGATTACATATCAGGACTCGGTGAGATTGGATTTCCAAGTTGGTTTAGTTTTTGTAGTAATGACTGATATTAATCTGTACATGTTAAAACAAATTTGCCAATGGGTCTATCTTAGATGTAAATAACAGATTACAATTAATTAATTAGAACCATCAGGTTTTTGTGTATTTGACAGTCAAATGTAAATAATACATAATATCATTTATTGATCATAATTGTTATGTGTATTTTCATTTCAGCTGTATAGCAGGTTTATTTTGCAAGAGAAAATGGAACAAAATTTAACATATTTGTGAGTACATTATATTGAGATCAGATCTAGTATATAGAAACATACAATTGTACTTTCATAATACAGTACATGTATTGTACATTTAGTATAATTTCAGTAACTGAACAGAAATCATTTAAGACAGTGATCTCAAAACTCTGATCATGGCATCAACATCATATTTCTGAAGTTTTAACCTTGTTTATAATAACATCCTAATCACTATATATATATATTATATATATAAGCCAGAACAAATTGGTTTCAATCTCAGAACACAATTTGTACTGTTTGGTGTTAATGTAGCGCAAATGTAAGACTAGCTTCTTTTGTGTTAGACAATATAACTCAACAAAATATTACTCTGTAAAATGTTGTCAACAATTTAATGAATAATGTTTGTAAAAATTACAGCTTTCATGTTTTCTCAAAAAATAATTATAAGTTTTATCAGTTCGTCTTTAGTAGCGAGGAATGTCTGTAAAAATACGACATTCTTACGAAACTAGTTTGTAGCTAGTAGCTACTAGCTTGTAGAAACTGAGATCATATAATATGTTCTAATATAAGTTTAGAACTATATGTAATAGGTACTTGTGATTGAATATACATCAACTTTTATACTTTCAGTCCCATGGAGAACATGAACCATGCAGGACTGCAGCACCATGCAATGGCGATGGCCAACTTCATCAAGACAGAACCTCAGTTAGATATCAAGTCTGAACCACAGGATATGTTTCAAAGGTACATTAATCTTACTGTAGATACATGTTTAAATTAGACCAAATATGGGGTTACTCTACCTACCCTATTTGTTTGTGCCTTCCTGGTACACTTCCCTGGTATATTAACCTTAAAAAAAAAAAATGAAAAGAAAGATTTCTTACCTAACTACCCTAATTTTCAGACATGTAACGGGAAACAAAAATACCTGGTACTGTTTTGTTTGGCCTTATGTTAATTCAGTATGAGCAGTAACAGCATTCAAGTTGAGCATTTATTGAAATTTATCTCATTCACCCCCTCTGATTTTCCTAAAAAAAGATACTACTATTATACGCCTTTTTTGGATATATTTAAAAAAAACATTCTTCTTCGTCAGTGATACGTGTAGTACAGGGAAGGCCGGCCATGTGTGATGTTACGTTCATTTTGTCTGTAATTTGTACAAGAAAGGCTATGTCTGATGTTACTTTCATGTTTCCTGTAAGTAGTACAGGGGAGACTGTTTATGATCTTACTTTCATTTTGCCTGTATTTATTCTGTCATCATCAGTGTTACAAGTACTACAGCAAAGGGCAAAACTTCCAAGGCCAAGAAAAGGAAGACTGAGAAAGTGAAACAGGAGAAGATAACTGACCACATGGTTGTGAAGAAAAAGAAACATGATCGTTTCAAGGGCATGCCTGAAGAGGAAGTGATGAAACGCCTTCTGCCAGACCACCTGGCTGAGGATCTAGACATTGTTATTGTAAGTCTCCTAAACTTAATTCAGTGTTTCCTTCTGGCGTAAATATTACGGTGCAACACCACGCATCATTTCTCTGATCATGATGTCATTCCCTTTCTGTGATTGTTCTTAAACATCACAAACTTATAATGCAATCAACACCACCCTTGCCTAGAAAGATTGGTTTGTTTGTGCTTTACGTCCTATTGGGCCGCGGTAGCCAAGTCGTTAAGGTGTCTGACAATCTGCTACCACTAGCCCTCTACCACATGGTCGCAGGTCCAGGCCTACGTGGGGCAGTTGCCAGGTACTAGCCGTAGGTCGTGGTTTTTATTTGGGAACTCCGGCTTTCCTCCACTCAGGTTGGAGGGCTTGTCGTTGTAGACAGTCATGCAGATGCCTTAACCACTAGAACCTGCTATAAAATATAGTACTAGGCAGCATATACATATTACACCTGGTTGCAGTGACTTATAACCCTTTCACCACTGTAGACCATAATGGACTCCTCCAGATCAATGCATGGTAGAGTCTACTAAAATTAAATAGGGGTGAAAGGGTTAAATAGGACAACTCTACTATACAGGAGGTATCCACACGTACCATTTAATGTCTAATTCACCAAATCATTGAGACCTGTCGACAAGACCAGAAATGTTTGGCCAATTTTCACACCTACTGAGATATCCTGGAGGGCAGCACACTGCTTACCTGAAGGCAGCTAAAAGTCATCCTGCAAAGTATTTAAAAGTTATCGTAAACCAATGTGTTGTGATCTTTTTTTGTGTGAGGTATTACATTAATTAGGTGGTTACAATTTGTGTGTTGTAGGTGGGTATCAATCCCGGTTTGATGGCAGCTTATGTTGGACATCATTATGCGGGCCCAGGAAATCACTTCTGTAAGTATATATACGATAAACCCAAAATATTCTCTGAAAAAAGACCTACTGTGGCGGTCTATATCGACCCTGACCCTTGTGATTATAACATGCCTGCTATATAATATGTGTCAGCCTTGTGATCCTGACAAACTTCCACATGTTGATTACTCTGGATGGCCATTCAGTGATTACTTATTCTGGGGGAACAAACATAGTTTAAGGTTTGTAGCTACATATGTCAGAATTATGTGCATGACATTCCTGATCCTCAGCCCTCCAGTCTCCTCCTCATACACAAATCCAAAACTTTGTTCTATTTTTGTTATGCGAGATACATAATGTACTTATAGACGGTTCAATCTGGGTTATGGGGGAAATTTCCTTCTTTGTGATGAAGGGAAAGTTTTATACATTTCACATGAAGATTTTCACCCCTGAAATCTTACGTTTTCTTTACCATTAGATTATATTACAATATAATAAAACCACGCTAACTGGAACTCTTGGGGTCCAGATCAAAAGTTCAAGTAATACACATTATTTGACAAATCCGAGGTTTGTCGCACATTATGTTTTGATCAGGTAGAACGACATATACATTATGAGCACTGCAAATATCACGGATAGTAGTATTAGTAGATGATAGAAATAAAAAAGATGCTTAATACAGATGCCAGCTTTTACTAGGATATAAATCGGTGTTAAAAAAGGAAGTGAAATAAAGTAGCTGTATCTGACGTGCTTGTTGTTTAAACATAGTCCATCATACTGTGTCTGGCTACAATAATTTTACAAAATATCAAAACGAGATCGAGGACCTATTCAATCATTTTGAAGTGAAAGAAAATCTTGAATCCCTGTTTTTGCGATGTTGATTGATGACGAAATTACCAATATGACATATATTCAAGTTGGAATATCTATAAAGATGACCACAAATCTGCTTTGTGATTTCCCTTTAATATTGCCTGGCCAAAATATTGTTTTACACACCCAGTGATTAACACTTCCGCTAAAACAACGATTCCCAGGATAAAAAGGTATGATTACCTGTTGGACGAATGGATATGTTAAATACGAAGGTTTTGAGTGGTTGAGGAACACCAGGTATTCTAGCAATGGCTGTTCGAGTAATCCGAGGTTACTTTACAAAGAATATATAAGAACAAGGCGGTCAGGACTAAGACCACTAGAGGTATAGGGAGTATTTGAGTAATGCAAGATCGAGTAAGTGGGGTTTTACTGTATAAGAAAATCATTCCTTCTTGACTGTTTAATATGATAATACTTCTGGATAGTGAATGGCAAACTCGCCTTCAACAAGATGGCTGGGGTTCGTTTCCCTGTTAAGATGTGAGAAAGTCCATCCGGGCCAACAAGAGTGATTAAGATAAGTTGGAAAAAAAACTGTTTCATTATTGTTGTAAAAAGATAAAGTTTATATTATTATATTATACATGTCCACAACCTTTTGTTTTTATCTTGAGTGATCAATATAATATCATCTGTCTTGGTCAGCAAGATTCAGACAGTCAGCGTGTACATCAGTAACATCTTTGTTCCTTTATTATTTTCAGGGAAATGTATGTACCTCTCGGGCCTCATTCCCGAACCACTGACAGCTTACGATGACACCAAACTGCTGAATTACGGGATAGGATTTACCAACATAGTTGCAAGGACAACCAGAGGAAGTGCAGATCTGACAAGGTTCGAAACAATGTGAACCTAAAGCACGAATAAATGATAAAATGATTTATGGTTGTACAAACCTCTTGATATTTGTGTCTAGTTCTAAAACAATGCATATCTGGTTGTTTGTCGAAGGAAGTTGATGGCTACAAAGTCAACAGACAGTTAAATTCTCCACATACTTGGCAATGGAAGAATGTTTCAAATTCTCTTTTTTGTTTGGAAAAAGTACTTTTAAGTTCAATGGTAGAGATTTTTGGAAGTAAAATGCTGAGAACTTTTCAATAATTTCATCTCAAGAAATGAAAAAAGTGATTTTGGATTAAAAAGGTAAAGGATGAGAAATCATCTTCAAAAGATGTCTGTTCTAAATATAAGGAAAACATATTGACATCCTTTTTTTGTTTCTAAAAAAGCCATTTTTTCTTTAATTGTTAGTACATAATAGTACATATTGGTGTAATGTTCCCAATCCTTCAGCTACATCGCGATACAAACAAAGAATATGCAGATGATGAATGTAAATTGAATGATGTTAATGTATTTCAATTAGGAATCCATATATTTTGACTAAGAATCAATACTTTTGACTGATTTCAGAAAAGAAATCAAAGAAGGTGCCAAATACCTGTCGGAGAAACTGAATAAATACAAACCAAAGATAGCTGTCTTTAATGGGAAGGGTAAGTTTACGAAAGAAAACCATTGACTGTGGTTGTCATGGTAGCTGTAATACACATCCCATTGATGGGCCTTGATTATTGACGTTATCATTATTAGCTCGCCTAGAGAGGTGAGGCCCAAAAGTGAAAATATTGATGCATAGAATAACCCAGTGTTCATGTTCTTTTAACATATAGTCTTTGGATGACGTCTAACAATACTACTACAATACATAGGATCGTAATATTTGGTTTATAAATAACATGCTATGATCATACAATTTATATTGACCCATATTCAGGTCACATGTTTCAAGTACGTTAAAATCTTCATACTGATTCTGATGACATATAATGAATAATGATGCTTAGAGACCGGGTATGTGTCTTGTCACTTGTTGAAGGGTTTGTTCAAATAAATCAATGTTGTTTTACAGCATTGGATAAAGAACATTTATCTAGATAAATTAATTCTGCTACAAACATTTAACAATTGAAAGAAATTGAACAACACTGTATATATATATATATCAGGTCTTACTATGAATAACCTTGTCACCTGTTTAATGTGACTATTATATAAATAGTTAACAATTCTTTGATGTAATGAAAAAAATTGAATTGATACCAGGTTGTTTTATTTTATCATTAAAATACTTAAGATTTACATAGTTTAAAGTGTGCCTTGTTCAAAGTCAATGTGATTGGAACTTGGAAGTGATTGAATATGCAACATTGTTACAGGTATTTATGAAGTATTTTTGGGACACAAGAATTTTGCAATAGGGAAACAACCTGAACCGCTGGAGGGCACTGATACGGTAACTATACACTCAACTAAATAGTTGTCTCACCAATACTGTGCACATATAAATATTGAAGACATGCTCAAATTTGTGACAGTATACATGTATTTTGTAATTAAAATATGGAAGTGCTAAAATAAGAAATGTATTGAAACCTTGATGATAGGATTGCTTTTTAAAATCTGCTGGATTGTGAACAAATCCATACATGTACATGTATAGATTTGTCTGCTGGTTTCACAGATTGTTCTCTCTTCTATTTAATTGACTCCCTCCCTGTTTTCAGATTACTGTTCTATTTAAATGACTCGCCCTGTTTTTGATTGTGTATAAGCGATTCCATCATGCATTGGTTGCTATTGGTTTCATTTTGTTTACATGATTTTCTTATCTGTATAAGTGCCTGCTGTTCTGTTTCATTGCCTTCCTCCCTGTTTTCAGGTTGTGTATGTGATGCCCTCTTCTAGTGCTCGCTGTTCACAACTACCTAGAGCCGTAGACAAAGTCCCATTTTACGCAGCCCTAAAGAAACTGCGGGACCATCTTCGTGGGGATCTTAAAGAACTGGATGAATCAGAAGTGTGCTTCCCTGACCTTGAGCTCAAAGTCATTAAGAAGGAGGATCGGCTGAAGGCAGAGGGATACCCTGATGCTGACAACAAGGGAGCAATTAATCTTGGTAATGGTAATGTGCCTGCTCCCTTCACAAATAACCAGCCAATGAATGGGGCTGTAGGTCCTCCAGGTATGAATCACCCTGGAAACTTTATGTCCATTAAGCAGGAAGCTCCTTACAACTCTCAGGATTATGGGGGCAGTACCAACATGTTCCACCAACAAATGCCTGTGATCAGTCTTCCCTGCCCGTCATATCCAATCTCAAGTATGGCATATTCAGGGGGAGGTAACTCTCGTCCCCATGGACCACAAGGAATGATGCCTTTACCAGCAACAACATATCCCTCCTCCCAAGTTGATGGATCAACGATGTTTGGGGGACAGGGGTCTCAGGGACCTCATCCATCACACTTTCCTACTAGTCAGGGTTCTTACATTCCACAGATAAACTGTCATGGTAATTCCTCTCAAGGTCAGGGTCAGTTCTTATCACCAGGTCAAGGTCAAAGTTCAACTAATATGTTCACATCCCAGGGGCCATCACAAAATCTACCTCACCATGTGGACCTGACAGTGCCAGGATCCTACCCCTCTGCAGGGTTGCACTTGGCCAATGCCATGCATGGGTGGCCCGGCATGCAAGGTCAATCTTGTGGACAATCTCCTCGACCACAGCAGGGATTTGATCAGATGCAAAATCGTGTGTTCATCAAGGCGGAACCACAGGACTTTGGATCATCATCATCATCATCATCAACAACCTGTCCATTTCAAAATGTTGGATAAGTAATGTATTTATTTGTGTAGTCCTGTATGGGTGTCTGAGTATGTGTTCATTAAGTAATCATCACAGTGATGACATCATAGTGAGCTCTTTGTATGTATTATAAATAGCTGTCTTGCATTTTTATTTCCATTATTTATATATTGTAAATATTTTGCAAAATATTATTGTCTCAAACTTTTTAAACAGGAAATATATTGATGTATTTTTCTTGTGCTAAAAGTTTCATAAGTTTTGTGCTTTATTAATGCAAATTCGATGAGATCTGGTTTGTGCCTACTATATGTCTAATGAAATCAGGAATCTGGATCTATGAAATTCTTAAAAGGTTCATATCATACAAAACCAAATGAAATAAAATACAAATTGGAAACTTAAAAGTTAAAATGGATACATGTTCAAATTAGTATGAATATTTGAAACATGAAGTTCCAATTATGATTAAAGAAATAAAAAATCAATAAAGAAATCAATATTGAAACATTTTTTTCATAACAAATATTAAAATATCAAAGTACCATATTTTGTCTTTCAAAAATCATATATTGAAGATTAAAAGGTAGTCAAAACGGAACCTCATAACTAAGTTTTTAAATTTTTGCCTCAATAGACTGGAATAGGTTTATATGATAAAATATATACTGGTAGATCATAATCATCGTTATAAGAAATGAAAGTAGAACAGACATGGTAATAATTGTGTGATAATGGACAGTACATTTAAGGACACAGTAAACATGTACAGTGTATTTGTTGCTAAATATACACAATTTTGAATAAAAATATTGCTGTAACACACATAGATGCAATTGAAATGATATTTGAACATGCCTCGCAACTGTAATACTATTTAAAACGTGTTGATTTCCAGTATTGTTGTTGTACATGGCATTACGTAGCTGTATGCATTTTTATAAAATTGAATATTACCCTGTTAGAATTATTGTACGTTTATTTATTGATATTATCATCATAGTGATATTAACATAAGTACAATATATGATGTCAAAAATGCTTTAGATGTCATTAATATCATTGGGTGTATTTTAAAGATGTGAACTCTCCACCCTTAAACTGGTTGTCTGTGAGTGTAGCTGTTTTACTGCAGACAGACTACAAAGATACCACTTTGTAAGAAAAGTACCTCATTGACTGTTGATAAGCCCACGCTCAGATATAAGCCCACCCACAGATTTACAAGTTACATTCACCAACAAGCAGTCTATGCATGCAGGTAAAAATGTTCAAAAAGCCAAACCATAAGTTGATGCTGTTTCTATTGACTATCCTTTGTATTTCTAAGGATGAGATCCTACAGGCATATTGTATCTTTGAGCAAGATACCTTACTCCGCTTGTTCCAGTCTACTCAGCTGTAAATGAGTATGTGGTTGGGCAGTGCTAGAATTGTAGATTGTTAGCTGTGAGCGCCGAAATGGCAGCACCGGCTGTCTACTCCCCAGGGAGTTGAGAAAGATATTGGCTGGTCGCAAAGGCCCTTTAACTACGGATAATAATTTGTGAACCGCTTTGAGACGACCTATGAACTATGTTGTGATAAAGCGGTATATAAGAACCTCAAATTATTATTATTATTATTATTATTGGTGTTTTTTTTCTCCATTTTACTTGATGAATGTTGCCAGATACTTCTGATCCTTCACTAATGAAATGCTTCCTAGCTAATTGCATTTAATTGTCCTGAGCTGTATATGTCTGTTGCAGTGTTAAACAATTAACGGTATTAATGTATGATTATTATGTATTAATATGTAATTATTTATATTGATGTATAAGTATTTTGTATTAATGTATAATTATTATGTATTGATGTATAACTATAATGTGTTATATATGTACATACTGACTGAAGCAATACACTGTTCAATTATACAAAATGTTCAATTTTTATGTTAGGTATAATTTATATTTGATAATACTGCCGTATTATGAGTTTTAAAGTATGATGAGTACGTTTTTGAGTGTGACATTCTATGATTGCATACATAATTGATATGTCATTTATTATAATAATAAATGTGTTTCTGTAAGTGATTTATTTGTTAAATGATGGTTCACACTTTATGATTAAGGAGCAAGAGCTTTAAATAGTTGAAGGCAGGCAATTACAGGGGATGCAGTCGAAGCCTTTTTAGTCATAACAATTTAAATCTATGATTATATAAGAATCTTGCTAGCTTTGTCAAAAGCAGATGACACTGAAGTCTAATCTTGTTAGTCCTAACAAAAACCGATGACACTATATTTGTGTCTTTTTAGTCCTGAAAATAATGGCTGACATTGTGTTTTAGTCTTGTTTTCCGGATATTATCATTTCAAATCAGACTAAGTAATGAATTTTCCAGATTGAAGTATCAATGAACCAGTTCCTACAGGTAATGGTCTGGAAGTATCAATGAACCAGTTCCTACAGGTAATGGTCTGGAAATGGAGGATGACATCCCGATAAATTATGTTCCATTGATTTAAACATTGAAAATTTTAATTGAGAAAACAATATAAGTTGTTTATATATGTGTTTTTTTCTGGATTAGGTAAACAACATACAGCCAGCTTGTTATAGTGGATATGTATAGAGTATAAAGTCATGTCCTCTTTATGATCAAAATCCATCACACTGGGCATTATCAGGATTATATTACCTGGAAGTTCCCTTTCATTGTTCATCTACATTTACTACCCGTTTTTGTGATGATCTATCATGGAATATGGTTATTTCATTATGAAAGTATTAATTTCGGTCAACACTTAAGTGAAATGATAACATTGACTTATATTGTGTAATCCCTGTACTGTGAAATAGTGATATATATTATTTTATATTATTCCTTTGTTCATTTGTGATGTGATTGTAATGATACTGGTAAATTATGAGAAAAGTGTATTCACCTCTCAGGAAGTCACATTTCATTTGACCTTTGACCTCACTGCCAGAGAAACACATTTCTACATTTATGCCTTTGTAAATCTAGCATACATGTAACAATTTTTTTACATAGTGGTTGTAATACTGAAAGGCAGCATACAACGTTATTGAACTGGAAAAGTCATGATGTATTGAGCTTTAATTCTATTTTCTTTATGAATTTTTTTGTCACTATACCGGGGATTCTGGTAGTGTTGGATAGAAGATTTTACTTTTGTGTTCAGACTGTTATCCATACACGTGTGTTGTACTCTGTGTAAACTACTGTAACACTGGCTGTAAATTGCCATGGTAACACAATCAAATTTGTTCATCGCTATAACTACTGATATCCAGACCTGTGTATTGCTATACAGTAACACTAATCAGATGTGTACATGACCGTGGATGCCGATACCCCGACGTGTATATTACCATGGTAACACCAATCAGATGTGTACATGACAGTGACTGCTGGTACCTCACCTGTATATCACCATGGTAACACCAATCAGATGTGTACATGACAGTGTCTGCCGGTACCCTCACCTGTATATCACCATGGTATCACCAATCAGATGTGCAAGACTTAAAAGACTACACAAATCCTAGGTTATATAAAACAGTGCTCATTAAAAAAATTGTTACACATTTACCTTGTGTATGGCACATAATCTCTCTGCTTAATTCTAGCCAATATTATCTGTGTTAATTGATTTAATTTGATGATCAGAAGAGAGCGATTTTATCTGTTGTCTGGCCTACATATCATTTAACGACAAAATTTCAGCTGTTGTTTCATTAATATACCAATCCTGCTGACCTTTGTGTTAGTTTTAAATGGTATTTAAAGTCTTCTATGTGTTAGATATAATCAATTTGTCTCAACACGCCATGTCTAAATACCTCATATGTAGATCAATCTCGATGCCCAATTAAACTTAGCATTAAATGGAAGTCCTGAATGTGTGTTATGTGCATGTACTTATTGTTCCTACATGTTTACTATAATATCTGAATATTCTGATCTGTGAGAATGAAATATGAATGAAAATTTTGGTTAAATATGATTTTCTTGTTTTGTTTTGTCACTTTTAGTGCAATGTTGACAATTGTTAATCATTTTAATATTTTTCCATTTTCGGCACAATTATAATTATTATATATATTACTTTAATCTAAATAAGACCATCTTCCTGTTGCAGAATGTTATACAATGTTACAATGTATAGAACAATGTTATACAATGTAACAATGTTTAGAACAATGTTACACTGTATTATATATGGTCATTCTCTTTATTTATTTCTATTTTTATAAAAAGCAAATATACAAATATATGTATATCATTCGGTTTATATACCATTAAAAATTAATTTAGGAATTTTTAACTAGTGCCTATATACAGGAACAGTTTTAAGGCAAACATGTTTATTTAGTTAATGGATTTATACATTTTTTTATTTGATTTAGTAATGAATTAATTTTATTGTTGTGTACTATTTCAATGTTGGAATGAATAAAAAACTGCATCTGAACTTTACCATTTTTGTTATACTTTGACTTGTGATAATGGAATTCGACATCACTATGTGTTACCATTACAATAAGAATAGATTCATTGATGGATGGGTTTGTCATCCATGGCCTCCGATATTTTCATGAATGGACCTTTTCTGACATGCAAAACATTTTCGGGGGCTTATGCCATGGTGCTTCTTCCATCGTCTGTCCCTCTGTGTGGTGTCAACTTTTTTCTTTAATCAGCTTCCTATGAATAACCAAAAAGACTTGGAGGTGATATTTGGCTATAATTAGCATGGTTATAGTTCACCTGCCCTAAGGGCTAGTGAGCTGATGTTACGGTGCAGTGTCTGTCCTCATCTCACGAGGAATGGACAGGCCTATAGTCATGAAAGCTTTATTGGTAAGAGACTGACAAAGTTTGAGAACGAAAATGACGGTGACCTACTTTTAAGGTCAAATATGTCAAACACTTCAAACGGCTTTCTTCTGAAAGCAAAAGGTATATAATCATAATATTTGGCTGGTGGCTTCTTGGGATAGAGCCCAACAAAGTTTGGTTATGCAAATGACTTTTACCTACGTTCAAGATCACAGGGGTCAAACACTTAAAACAACTTGTTCTGAAGAACCGAAAGGCAAAGAGTCGTACTATTTGGCTTATAGCCCTCTGGGATAGATCCGGACAAAGTTTGTGATTGCAAATTTGTAACCTGGACCTTATTTTACGGTCACGGATTAAATATGGCAAACACTGCAAACAGCTTCTTTTTTGCCCTACAAAGTTTGCTAATGAAAATGACCTTTACCTACTTTTAAGGTCATAGGGATCAATTGTGTTAACATATTCTAATGACTCTTCTCAATAACTAAGAGCCACAGGGTGATGATACTTGGGAGGAAGCACTTCTAAGTTGTTTCAACAGAACGATATTGTTAGACTTTCAAGATCGCTGATAAAATGTGTTAAAATATTGTAACAGGTAAGGATTTTTACCTATAGCTTTATGTAAATCTCATTTCTAATTTGACAAAGAGTATGCTTGGCCCATTATGATTCACTGTTGTATAAACCATGCCTCCCAACCCAATGGGCACAGAGGGATGGGATCCAATAAGGTAAGGGTGTTGCTGAAAGACTGAGCAAATATTTGGAAACGTTTTTAGTACAGTATAATATTTAATTACAAATATTTTGCTATGACGGCATAAATATCCAGGTGAGTGGTACAGCCCCTCTGGGCCTCTTTTTATTTTTTCAAATGAATGACCTTGACCCACATGAATGACCTTGACCCACATAACAAAGGTCAAATATTGTAAAACCTACACACTTCTTTGATAATTAGGGCTAGCGTGATGATATTTTTGCCAGTAGGATGCTGCGATAAAGGGATATCAAGTTTGTTCAAATAAATCATTTTGAGCTACTTCCAAGGTCATAAAAGTCAAATGTGTTGACAATTTTAAACAAGTTCTGAATTTGTGTTCAAATTAATGAATGACCTTGACCCACTTTCAAGATCACGTGGTGGGGGGTCAAACATGTTAAATATAAATACTCTTCTAAAATCCACTAGGCCTAGGGTGATGATACAAGTATTTGATAAATAGGCTGTAGTGATAAATGAATTGTGAGTTAGTTTAGTTAAGAGAATGACATTGAGCCATAGAAAACAACTTCCTATGGGTAACTAAGAGGCCTAAGGTCAGCATCTTTTGTATGTAAGGTAATGATGCAAGTAGTATGAGGTGTGTGATCTTGATGAATGGCCTAGACCAGCGAACCTTGAAGATTATACAAGTACAAAAGCATAAGGCTTTTCAGTGAAGATGGACTTCAATGTAGACCTAAATTGTGTAAAGTTAAGATAGTTAATTAGTCTATTATAAAAAAATGACCTTGACCCCCTTATCACAGATGAGACCCATTGGACCTCTTGACTCGT